CATCTACATGCTTTTATGTGATTCTTTATTCTTTGCTTTTTTAACCATGTAGAATCAGTACGCTATACATTGCTGCTGGCAACTGGCAATTTCTGACTTCCCAGTAGAATTGGATTTAGATGTGTGGAGTTAAACGTGGCTTCCCAAAGCCCTGCCCCGTGGAATTAAATAGGAATTTCATAGTAGGTGTCAGCAGGCCAAGACTTGACATTTATTCTTATTTTCCTACCCTTAAGAAGAAAAAGAAAGGTCTATTGGGGGATGGGTGACCGGATGATTTTGGTGACTAGAACAATGCAGTACGATGTAAGTTCTGACAGGCAGTTAGCAATTTAATTTAGAGAGCCTTAAGAAGTGAGGGCGCATTAATATTAGTGTTTGAATTCAGATGATGTCTATCCTTCATGAATCTTCATCTCTCCAAGATTCTCACCCTTGCCTGGATCTCGGAGCGTGCAGCTCTTTCAGACGAAATGAGCCTGGATGAGCACTGCAGTCGGTAACGCGCAGGCAGACCACGGAGCCAGGCTCAGAACCCATGTGTATGTAGATACTGGGTCCACCACGAGTTGGTGTGTGTAGGCATGGCCTCAAATGGCTGTACTGGTGGGGAGGAGTTGGGAGGATCTAAATACCTTGTCTTAGCTAGTGGGCGAGGCAGCACCATCCAGCCATAGGTGCAATCATTTGTGGCTGGTAGTGTCTTAAATGGCTCGGGCATTTTTGCAAGTAGTCAATGGAGCATATTGTCCATCATGGATTATTGATTTGAAATAAAAAAGTTTTTTACTCTTAGAATAGAAAAATGGAGACCACTAAAATTTCTGAGGATGACACATCTGGGCATTAAGACAACAAGGGGACATTTAAAGCAAGCTGCATTTTGACCAGGAAAAAAAAAAAGTGAGCTTTGACATTTTTGATGGTTATTACTGTGTGAAAGCCTATCGGCTTCCAGGTATTTGAGGGCTTGAATATTCACTACTTCAGCCAGCACAAATTAATAGAACAAGATAAAAAGTGCTTCTGCAGCACGAACAAAACTACTCCTGTGTTATCTTGAAGGTTTATTTAGCTCTCCCTGAGAACATAGGCACAATATTGGTGTTCATTTGATCTCTGTGAAAAATGGTAGGAGGCTTCCTTTTTGGTTTTTTCCCCTTTTCATTTTGCTCAGTTGATTTATTTATGAGTTACTGTTTGTGTGGAATGGTTGATTCGTTTTCGAGAGAAGTGGAAACTTCTGTCAAACACGCCTGTTGGGTGTAGATTCACATCCCTGCAATGTGGTGCTAAGGCATTTCAAAGCAATTGTATTCTGGTTAGGACAAAAGTAATATGATAGAGAAGGTTTCAGGCACTTCAGTGACGGTGAAATAAAACTGCAAAACCCCAAACCAGGAGGTTGCAAGTGTCACTTGCAACGTGTTGGATGCTGTAGATTAGTTTTGTGTGACCTTTAGCGGGAGTGAAAACATATTTGATTTTTGAGCTATCCTTCCCTAGACAGTACACAGAGTGCTAAAATCCTGCATGTTTTGGCAGAAAAAAAGATAGAGCACAAACCAACAGCTGGATTTGAAAGCCGGATTTATTTAAATTAAAAATGCAAACCCCATTTCTAGCAGAATATGATTGACCATTGAAAATATAAACAGCCAAGGGAACGCCAATTCATCTCTTCATGTCTTCCAGGCAAAACTTTAGTCAAGCTCAAGTTATGCCTTGGTTATGCCTGATTTCCCAGGGTGGTTTGGTGTGAGTCTGTGGCTGCATTATGCAGGAGATCACACTTGATATTTGTTATGATCTTTTTCGATTTAAAATCAGAAACTATAACATGAGCCAAATGGAAATCAGTGGTGTTCGTATTTGTCTCTCCCTCTGCTCGCAGGTACTACAGTGCTACCATTTTGCAGATGTCAGGAGTTGAAGACGACAGGCTTGCAATCTGGCTGGCTGCACTGACAGCATTTATAAACTTCATTTTTACCCTCGTGGGAGTCTGGCTCGTTGAAAGAATGGGTCGCCGGAAACTTACACTTGGTAGCTTAACAGGTGAGTGCTTAATTAGTGCATTGTATATTCTTCATAATTATTAATCAAATGAAAATATAATTTTAGGTGCTATTTTTATCACTGTAATCCTCCTTAAAATAACAGTGTTGACCTCATCTCCTCGAAATCATACTGCTTTTCAAGACTAGGAGCATAGTATCACAGCTAAAAGCCAATTTAAAAACCAGAGGTTTAGCATGTTATTTTTTCAGGTGCAGTTTCTCCTTCAAGCCATGTTTAGCAATGTTTCCATTTAGCTTTTTATGCTTTTTTTTTCAGTATAAGGAATGAAATGCTTGGAACTTCACAGCTGGTTAGTTTTTAAATCTCATGTGTGTATATGTTGTATGTCATTTCTGGCTTGTTAATGTGAATTCAGAACATCTTACTAAGAACTACTGGAGAAAGTGTACCACGTAGCCATTTCAGTACTTTTTAAAAACTAATGCAGTTCTTTCCATAGTTATCTCAAACACAATACAGTAAATACCTTGCCTACACTAATGTGATTTTAATTCATCTCCTGGATGAGATATTAAAGACAGAATTCTGGATTTGTACATTTTTTCCCAAATATTCAAACACCATAACTCATCTCGTAGACGTCTCTTGGACGCAGGAAAAGGCAGAGTGAAGAGTCTTGCCTGCACTCAGCCATGTCCTGCCATTTACCCAGTAAGTCCCTGCTTGCTCCCGCATTACGTGCTTGTTCTGGCTGGAGTGATCTGTGACCCATACCTGCCTCTGGCTGAACGTCTGAAAGGTTCAGACATTTCCAAGAACAGGGTTTGGAAGAGAGAAACTAGTTCCTGCCCCTCTTGAAATAATGTTCGCAAATGTTTAGCTGGGGAAGGTTTAGCGTCTCTGTATTTTGTTCTGTTGTCGCTGTCAGGGATCCAAACTTCTCGTTAATGCAACACAGCAGGGTGGGGGACTGCCTGCCAAGACACTGGCCCTCTGCAGTTCCCAAGGGATGGAATTGATCTACATTCGCAGTATTTGTATGCATTTATATGGGCAGAACAGCAATGGCACACTGTCGCATCTGGTTTGATACACAGTTACCCAAATCTGTAAATTAAAACATTCAGTTTGGAGGCAATTTGGCGTTTTCAAGTTACAATAAATGCATATTGGAGTGTTGCCATTTTGATCGGGAGTTGAGAAACCTGAAGTGTTTTTCACAATGCAAGTTCAGAAACGTAGTCATGACAGGAGATTGGAAAAGCACGCTCCTCATGCCTTAAAAAAAAGGACCAAAAATCTCAAATTGCTACTTTTATCATAGTCTACCTCCAGATCATTTAAAATACATCTCCCCTGTAAGTTCTGCTATGTCTCCAACCAGCGCCAAGTTTTTCAGAGGGGAAAGACCCAGGTCTGTACCATTCCCTATGCTCAATATCCTTCTTCCCCCTGTGGTACTTGCCAGTTTTCTTGTCTTTCTGGGAAGTGGATCTCTCCTTGCACTGCACTGGTACTTCTGGTTCTTGGGTGCTGCCTCTCCTTTATACTCCATTGGAATGGAGGATTTATATGCTTATATATTTGGCCCCGATACCTCATACATCTGGCCAGCCCCTCAGGAGTTTATTGCTTACCTGGACCCAGCTGTATAGGTGTGTTCCGATGTGGACTTTTCATACAGTAACAGAACTCTTTGCTTTTTGGCTCTGGTTAACATATTCAAAGGTCATATATTTGAAATGCAGATATAAATGTCTCTACAAAGCATATTAGTCATAGAACAGAGAGGAATATAGAAATGAGGCAAAGAATTAATGAAGGAGAATAATACAGTTAAGAGTTATTTGCTTATGATGTTTCGACACAAAGTAATTGCTTGGTAAAAATATTCGTGGTCCTTCTGTGGTCAGCTGCCGGTCTGCAGCATCCCTTGATCTGTGCTGCGTTGCTTGCCGTGTTCTTTATCATACAGTCCCTCCTTAAGGAAGATACAAATAATGACAGCAATGAAATCATATGTCATCTCTCTGTACTATTTAGAATTTTTATATCCAGTGTTTGACACTTTGATTGAGGTAGTGGTGGATGTGATGTGTTTTTCCTTAGCAAGAGAGCTGTTTAAAAAAATGATAATTATGAAATCTGCTGATGGATTTGTTTTCCATGACAAATTTTCTTGTGGGGTAAACTTATATTTTACTGCTCTACTTCGGTTTGCGTTTCTAAGGACGTTGATTTTCACACTGAGTTATTACTGGCTGCTTCTCTGGTCTAAAAAACCCCAAGTCTCCCATTACATAGAATGAGGACAAAACTGCTACCTTTGCCTGCCCCTGCAAGGGCGTGGGGGTTTTTTTTTTGGTAAAGATTAATTAATTTGATGTTTGTTAGATGATAGCCTAGAAGAATAATCAGTCGAGAGACAGTGAGATTAATATTATGATTAAAAGCCAACATACTGTAGTTTAACTTTGTAAACTCATGCAGCTTTCCTGCTTTCTGAAAACCTTTGGGAAAGAGCTATTTTACATTTAATTTAATGTATCTTTATAATTTTCAAAATATTAGCAACTTTTGACAATGAGCCTTTCAGATAGATCCAGAAGCATTAGGAAAATTATAGTAAACTTCATCTCCCAAAAAAAAAAAAAAAGAATAAAGAATATCTTTTTAGTTCTCTTTACTACAGTTACTGATTCCTCCTAGTTTCCCTTTCATTTTATACCTTGGCATAATTTCTTTATCTCTTTTTCTTCAGTTAATTTCTTTCTTCAAAGCTGCTAATTGGGAAACATGCAGTATCCATTTTATTTGTGTTTTCCTTTTTCTCCTTCAGAAATTGTCAGTTTGAAAGCATGGTGGTATATGGGCATTGAACAATTTATATCTCTCTTTGTAATAGAGAGGATCTAAAATATCTTCAGAATATTTCTTTTTTTTTTTTTAATCTCAGTAATTGTATGTTTTTGTTCTTCATAGACAAACTTCCCACAGAATGAAAATATGTAATAAACTTCATTTTTCAGGTTTACGTATTCAGTACTTTTCCAAAGAAATAAGACATTTGCAGAGGTACTGGAAGTGAGCGCTAGTGTATTTAGTTAACTTAAAAGACAGACAAAATTTAGAATGAATATAAATAAGATTACAGGCCCTGTCTAAAGATATTTGCTGCCTGGTTTATGGCATTTTGAAAGTACAGTAAATCTAGTGCAATATCCAGCCTGCCCAGAAAACTGGGATTATTAGTGTACCTACTAGCCAGAGCTGTGCAAAGCTAAGTACAGAGTAAACTGAAATCACATTTGATGGTGCGCAGGTGCTTTCTCCACACACAGTTTGTGATTGAGTTTATGCTCTTGGTTTCCTCAGTGCAGGTAAATGTGTGGTCTAATCATCTCCGATTCGTGCATATTCATGCCAATTAGCCATGCCTGCTGCACAGACACATTCATGAATAATTCTATTACACAGATCTTGGTACTTAAGATATTATTTGTATCTCAGAAGAAGTTTTTCCACATACTTGGTGAGTTTGCCTGCTAGGAAACTCCTGTTTTTCTCTTTAAAAACACCATCAAACCCACACCCAAAACTGCCAAAACATCCTCTCTGCCCCCCATCCACCAAAAAAAAAAAAACCCAACCCAAAATAAAAACCAGATAATGTCTAATTTCTTAAAGATTACCAGAGTGACAAGTTAAGGTTTTTAATGTAGTGACATTTCTAAAGGTTTGCACAGATGCATTTCTGAGAAACTTCCTTACATGCTTCTAACATAGAGAGCAAAGGGATGATGAGGAGTATTTGGAATGGAATACAGAATCCTTCATTTGCCCTCAACAATTAAGCTATATTGCTGCACACTTCTAAGTGTGCACTGCCTTCCAACTGGCATGTGCTTCAGTGGTTTGTGAGTCTGTGTTTGTATGGTAAGGATAATGTTATTAGATCATTAGTAACTAACTCACAAATAATGCTTTTACTAGTTTTGCGTTTTTAGATCAGGCTGTACGTGTTATATGTGACCTCTCAAATAAAACATGCCACATGAATAGTGAGTATACAAATAGGTATACAGGGTATTTTATACAACCTAGAACTCGATCCCTTGTTGAGTAGCAAGTAATCTCAGTAATTGTATGTTTTTGTTCTTCATAGACAAACTTCCCACAGAATGAAAATATGTAATAAACTTCATTTTTCAGGTTTACGTATTCAGTACTTTTCCAAAGAAATAAGACATTTGCAGAGGTACTGGAAGTGAGCGCTAGTGTATTTAGTTAACTTAAAAGACAGACAAAATTTAGAATGAATATAAATAAGATTACAGGCCCTGTCTAAAGATATTTGCTGCCTGGTTTATGGCATTTTGAAAGTACAGTAAATCTAGTGCAATATCCAGCCTGCCCAGAAAACTGGGATTATTAGTGTACCTACTAGCCAGAGCTGTGCAAAGCTAAGTACAGAGTAAACTGAAATCACATTTGATGGTGCGCAGGTGCTTTCTCCACACACAGTTTGTGATTGAGTTTATGCTCTTGGTTTCCTCAGTGCAGGTAAATGTGTGGTCTAATCATCTCCGATTCGTGCATATTCATGCCAATTAGCCATGCCTGCTGCACAGACACATTCATGAATAATTCTATTACACAGATCTTGGTACTTAAGATATTATTTGTATCTCAGAAGAAGTTTTTCCACATACTTGGTGAGTTTGCCTGCTAGGAAACTCCTGTTTTTCTCTTTAAAAACACCATCAAACCCACACCCAAAACTGCCAAAACATCCTCTCTGCCCCCCATCCACCAAAAAAAAAAAAACCCAACCCAAAATAAAAACCAGATAATGTCTAATTTCTTAAAGATTACCAGAGTGACAAGTTAAGGTTTTTAATGTAGTGACATTTCTAAAGGTTTGCACAGATGCATTTCTGAGAAACTTCCTTACATGCTTCTAACATAGAGAGCAAAGGGATGATGAGGAGTATTTGGAATGGAATACAGAATCCTTCATTTGCCCTCAACAATTAAGCTATATTGCTGCACACTTCTAAGTGTGCACTGCCTTCCAACTGGCATGTGCTTCAGTGGTTTGTGAGTCTGTGTTTGTATGGTAAGGATAATGTTATTAGATCATTAGTAACTAACTCACAAATAATGCTTTTACTAGTTTTGCGTTTTTAGATCAGGCTGTACGTGTTATATGTGACCTCTCAAATAAAACATGCCACATGAATAGTGAGTATACAAATAGGTATACAGGGTATTTTATACAACCTAGAACTCGATCCCTTGTTGAGTAGCAAGATGTAAAGGTTTTGTAAGTTTGGGATAAGGTTTATGAGTTTGGGATAACTGCAGTAGTACCATGAGTAGTGAAGTATATCAGTTTTCATTAAAATGATACAGCATATTGTGTGTGTGTGACAAATAAGGCTATGACTATGGGTTATGTTCTAGTAACGGCCTGTTGCACAAAGTATGAACCTTTTTTGCCATCTTCCCTCTCATCATTTTGCCCAGCTCATGCACAAGGAATTTTTGGGGGGCAACAGGAGCAAATAGATGTCGTGTGTGCTCTTTGAAACAAGATCAGAAATTTCAGTTAGGCTTTTTGGTGGTGTTTTTGTCAAAAGTCAAATTTCTGTCATTTCACGAGGGGAAATAGAGTCAATGAAAGAGCTGATGCTATTTTCTATTTTACAGGAAAGCCTGCAAGTCTGGGTGTGGGAGTAGGAAGAAGTGTGATGATTTCAAAGTCACTATTAAATTTTACCTTTACAGCATTATTTTCAACACCAGAAAGAATATATCTGTTCATTCATGTAGTCTTCAACTCCACATATAAAAAAAACCCAGAAGTCTCCACCTATTAATTTAATATCTGGACATTAAACCTGATGCACTTCACTTTAACATCTAACTTAATTCAAGATGTGGAAGTAGCAAAGGGTATTTTTTCTAGGTTCTCATCACAACTCCTTAGCAAATGCTGTATGCATATTAATGGGGTGCCTTGCTTTCCCAAGCATAGTTCAGTTCAACAGAGAATTATTTCATGTACTCTGGAGTAAAGTATCACATTGTTCTTTATCTGTATTTTTAGGTACTGCTGTAGCACTCATTATCCTAGCTTCGGGATTTTTGCTATCAGCTCAGGTCTCGCCAAGAATCACACTTAATCCACCAGATCCTTCACATCAAAACTCTACCTGCACAAAATACAGGTGAGATTTCATGATCATTCATCCAATCTTCATGAAGATCGTTTCCAATCAATTGAGTTTTACAACCTAGTGTACGTAATAGACAATTATTCACAAAGCCTAGTACAAGTTGCTAAACTAGATGCGTAAAGTTAAAATCCTAACTTCCCTCAACAGAGAAAATCAGACTCTTTGCTTAAATGGTCTGAATAATCCTTTGGAGTTTCTTGGACTAAATAAGGTGGTTAAGCAGCAAACTCCACACTTGAGATCTCCTCTGTTATATCGCACCTGCTGCAATTTATAGTGGACACAAAGTTAGGAATATTTGAAAAGTAATTTGTAAATATGCTTGCTGTTATTTGTCTACTTGTACATTTGTCACATGTAACAGCTGCAAACTCTTCAAGAAGATGTGTTCCTTGCCTTTTGTCTTCCTGAGTGGAAAAAAAATACTCTTCAGATAATTACAGATCAATTAACAATTAAAACAAATGTGATTTTTTGGACCTTTTTTTCTATAGTGGGTAGAAGATGCACTTTCGTATGCAATCATAGTTTCAAATAACATTACTTCTAAGGGGTTAGGAATGTGTCATTTTCTGTATTTTGTGGCTTTTATTATGTGTGAGTGATCTTGTGTTCATTTAGCTGGCAGACTAGAAAATTCCCTCTTGAGAAAAGACTAGTTAGATGGCTGCAGAAATTCTTACTTATGTTCAAAATCTGTTTTACATGTGTTTGCAATAGAGATAAATATCAAGAAATGAGAGGTATGCTTCTAGTTTCCTAGTGATACTGGCTAGAAATATGGTTCATGCTTTTCATATGCCAGCACAATGTCTTAGGCCTGGGAAGGCGACAGAAGGTCTTTAAAAGAGTGTAAATAGATGCTAATAACTGCAGCATTAGATGCTACCAGATATGAGGATCCCTACATGTAAAAACTGTATTTGTGCTTGTTTTCTACTGCAGAGTCAATTATATTTTGCATTTTCTGAGATATGCCTGTACAGCTTTTTCGAATGGGAAGTAATCTGGTTAAAAGATGCAAAGAGGGGAAGAGCTTCCAAATGCTCTCCTTTCAGAATAAGATGACATGAATAGCAGGATGTCAGAAGGATTTGCCTAGGACTTAACTATCTAGAAAGGGTGTCTGGAGAGCACAGATGCACCATTTGTAGAACTCATTATTTGTCATCTAATAAAGCTAGATGATGATATAACCTGAAACTATATAAAATCTGCATAGAAGAAATATGATTAGTCCACCTTAAGGAGTAATGAAAAATTATTTGACAGTGTTTTCATTTTCTAGTTAACCACAGCTAGTTGGGAAGGAAATTCAGACTTGCTTTTAGTGTGCATTTCTGGGCAAAAGCATGAAAAATTAAATCAGGTAGTTCTAGAAAAGGCGTGCTGTTTCATGAATTATTGGAATATTTTAATCTGTCATAATTTCTGTTTCTGCCATGAAGTGAGCAAAAGCAGATATAACAGAAATGCAAAGAGTCAAGAAAAGGGTCTAGAAAAGAGCAGTAAAATAATTAAAATATTTTCACTTGGGAATATTTTGAAATAGGAGGAACTCTCAGTTTATAGATCAAAGTGAACAGGTAGAGGGGGATGTGAGATAATGATCAATGTATGAGAAAGCTTTAGTTGCTCCTGTTTTAATCTTATAGTATACCTTGGTAAAGAGACACAAAAGCCAGGAGAGTTGAAACTAATAAATGGATGCAGTTTCCCACAGATCACAAAATTAGGGTACAGCACCCACTATTTAAAAGGTTCAAAAAAATAGGCATTTATATGGTTAATAACAACTTTCACACTTGTGTATCTAAAACTATACTTGGGATATCAAATTTTGTGCTTCAAAACATCATCAAACCCCAACCTTGCTAGAGCCAGAGGAAGAATATTCCTTCAGCATCATGAATATTAGTGTCCATTTTGGGAGGTGGTATCAGCCTCTGACTCCGTACCAGGAAGCCTCAAAATTCCGTGTGTTTTCAGCCAAGGGAGCAGTAAGTGCAAGAAATATTGTTTGTTTGTTTTCTGCATAGATCAAGAGAAGAAAAACATTTTAAACATTTTGTCTTCAGTGGTGTTTCTAGAGGAGCTTAGTTTCAGCATGCCTTTCTGCAAAGCTCTTGTAGCTACACATACAGAACATACATTAATTTATTCCTTTATCTAAATTACTTCTGGAGGTGATGACATATAGACATACATTATATTCAACTTGGAAAAGTGGCTGTTCGAGGTAAGGGTATGCTTTCTGTGAACATGGTCGATAAGCCAAATGAAATTTTAAAAAAATGGTTTTGCCCTGAGAAAGTAGATGGTGTCTTCACCATTCTGCTCAGGTTAGAAAAACGTCAGCATAACATGCATGGTCATGGACTGCAAACCAAATGAAAGCTAAAGGTTGGGCTGTATTTTGTGGGGCTCACTCCTCTCTCTCCTTTTTGGCCCTGAAGTTATTCCCCATGGCATTTATGGGGTTGGGTCAAAGATATCCTCAAACCTGAGCACTTGGAAGTAAAAGTCTCCTCTGCATAATGCCAGTCTTGTGTATTTTCTATGCTACTCTAAGAATAATGGCATTAAAGGAGCTGTACAGGTAGCCACCACGTAGGGTAGCAAATGTTACTGTAGGGCTAGTTACAAATAAGATACCTAATCAAAGTAAAATGAAGCAACTTAATGGCAGTGCTCTCTTGCTGTTTAATCCATATTGTAGCTTGCTTCAGTATAACTGCTGGTGTCTCATATTGCTTAGCATTGTGTCTTGCAAGCCTTGAAGAGGTCTCAGAAAGTTTTGGAAAAGCGAAAGACAGCGGGACTTCAGAAGATTGACATCTAATGCCAGCTCCCTGTAGCCACCATAACCACTTTTAAATACGTGTGCCTACACAAACGCAGCTCATAGTGTCCTTCATCTAATGGTGATGCAGTGCTTCTCTGAGGTGAGGTACGCTTAGTCAGAGTCTAAACCTGTTGGCAGCTTGGCCATCTCAGAGTATGGGGGTGTTTCCTAAATATAACTTGTATTTGTCTTTGCCGAAATGCATTTATAAATTATAAAATCATCAGTAAAGCGTATTTTTCTGACAAAAGTTTCACTGATGCTGTGCAGAGTAAAGATGCTTTTTATGTTTGCAAATCTGTTGGGTTAGAGTAAGTGTGGGTGTCCATTATGGAAGCCTTAGAGCTACTACAAACAGTCTGTTTGTTGTTCCCTCAGATCCATACTCCTCTGCCCAGATTAACTCCTGCTGCTAGAATAACAATGAATACGGAACAGACTAGCAGATAAAGAGCACAGTCACTGTCCTGATTCAGAAAAGCACCTTGAATGCTACGTTCTGAAAGAGCTCTGCTGTGCAATGAGAGGTACAGGTTACCTGTACGTGCTTGCAGAAAACAAACCAGTAAGATAGGCTGCAAATATCAAGTAAAATACTTTCATTTGGTGTAGAGACATATAATATCATAGTTGATCAACAGCCAAAAAACCGTATCTGTAAATCAGTGAAAAAAATTTGAAAGTAATCCTCATTCACAAGGACATCATGGAAATAACACAAACCCACAGGACACCCTGAACACTGAAATTCTCTTTGCCTCCTCACAGGTGGAAGTGGGTTGGTGTCTCATTGAGGAAAGGCAAAGTGAATACTCATCTGTGTGTCATCCTTAAATTGAACTCCGTTTTCTCACTCAACCTGTGTAAGGTTGTATAGAAGTTTGCAGTGTGACCACTTCTCTTTGACCATACTCTTTTCAGCAGCTGTATCTGTTACGTATCCTCAATGCCACAGAGAAGCTCAGAGGTAAATTTAGCAGTACAAAACAGCATCGTCCCAAAATTTGTAGTCTTGAAAATTAAAATATAAGCTAGCCATTCCTATTATTATTATGACTACTCAAAACTCTGTAAGCACGTTCTTGTTTTTTACTGGGGACTTGCCTGCTTCTGGAAGAAGATCAAGGTGGGGCATGTGCACTAGCTACCTTACTGCCTTTTCCTAATCTTTAAAAATTCAAAGGTGTGAGCGTCCCACTCTACCTTTCTCTGGGACATTCACCCATTTCTGGAAAACAACCATTGGCCTCTTGCCTTGTTGGTCTTTTTGTCTCCTTTCATTCATGTCTCTGTCTCTCTTACTGCACTTCTTGAGACTTGGTCAGCTGTAGAAGACATAACGTGAACTTGTTCTGCTTAAGCAGTATTTTTCACCTCAGCTACAATATGAAAATGGTAACTTTTGTGTTAAGCTTAGGTTAACCCTGAGGCTCATAACCTAGGGGAATGATACTTGTGGGCAAGAACTTTCTCAGGTTCCTTCCTGAACTGATTGTCTTCAGAGTTTGATTAAAATAATGCAGGCGGTGCCAGCTGCGCTGAACGCACAAGGGCTCGGTTGTTCATCTTGGAATTAGTCACCCTCACGTGGTTAATGTTCCTGAGCTCATTGTACAAATAACACACCACTGAGATGAAGGCACCAATATTTAGTACTCCTACATAGTAATTTTACAAGATACCTATTGGCAGAAATATATATTTTCTTCATGAATTTAGCAAAAATATATAATAGGGGTCAGTCCTGAAAAACTCAGCTAACCTAGTAACTGAAGCTACTGTACTTTATTTTGTTAACTCATTGACAATCTGATTTTTCTGCAAACTAGACATCAGTATTCTTCATACTGTCACTGTATCACAGAACCAGTATTTTTTAAAATATGATTCTCATTTTATGTTTCTAATGTCAAAGTGACTGAGCGACTGGTCATTCTGATAACTGAGAATTGCAGTAATAAATATAGTAATGTGTTTCTGCTGTTAATGTGAGAAAATTATGAGTCTGTAAAGAGATAAACATGTTTGAGAATACTTTTGCCAGCTCTAATGAAATGTAATTAAAATTCTGATAGACAGTTTATGTTGTGGAACTGTAAAATGACCTCGACGTAATCCTGAAATTTATTAAGGGGATAATATAAGG